GTTCTGATACAACTTTGGACAGGTGTTTACCCATCGTTCGGTTCATTCTCTCTGCGTAATTTGACATAAACTCATTAAAGCTTGGTCGCCAACCATCTTCTAATCTCAGCACTTTTCCAACTTTAGGCTGCTGGTTTTTTAACTCGTCCAAGCGACCAAATTTCTTATAAAATACGGATGAGATTCCTTTAGTCATCTCAAGATCTTGGGCAACACAGTGGGCTAGAGTGACGTTATGCGGAACCCTAAAAAGATCCTGCTGAACTTCTGTCGTCACGCCGAATCTAGCACTCTTTCTCTCTGCGTAATTTGACATAAACTCACCAAAGCTTTTGCCGTTAGGAACTCGGCATTGTTCACATCTTCGACCATCCTTAAACTTCCCTCTCGGCAGTAACTATCAGGTCTGGCCATCAAAATTTTCTCACTATTACCGGGTATTGTTACGTCACAAGTAGTTATTAAGCTGATAACATCTTCTTTGTCTTCATGAAACGGCAACTCTTCACCACCGATCTCGAGAACTCCATCTTTGACATTCAATACAGCCCCAACTTTCCGTAGCAAATCCATCCCCAATATGAACTCATCGGAGATCTCTGCAATTAATACTCTATGTTTCACTGTGGTCTGGCCAATGGATACTGACATATTAGCCTCGCCATATGTATTAATTATCTCACCAGTTGCTGTTCTAAGCTTTACTGTTGCAGGCGATAATTTAAGATGGTCTCGTACTACTTCTGGCCGTGCAATAGTTCTTGTTGCACCTGTATCTACCAAAAACGATATACATTTATTATTAATACGACCCTCGATGTACAAGCTATGAATTCCACCGGAGGACGTAATGTTCACAGTTACTATGGGGGCTGTGTTTCTCGAGGTCGGCAGTTGCCCCTTAGTGTCGACCCGTTCTAGTTTTCCGACTGTTGTATCATTTTCTTGCAATTACGACGAATGTGACCTACGTCACCACAATTCCAACATCTGGGCTCGCGTCTCTTCGGCATCGTGTTACGAACTACTTTTCGTACCATTTCTTCCAGACGTTCATCGTTTGGTTCGTCGACTTCTTCAATGGTTCTTACTCGATGGCTCCGTGAAGTTTGACTAGCTGTTTCATGTTCTAAAGCAATAGCAAGCGCTTCATCTAGAACTTTCGGTCTTGCTAGTCGTAAAGCTTTCTGTAATTCACTTTCTTTTAACCCATTGACGAAGGTATCTACGGCAATTTCATCCAAAATGTTGTCTGGTACCTCCGGATAAGCCAACCGCACTATACGAGCAACATCTGCTTCAAACTCTTGCAAATTCTCACTTGCTCGCTGAGTTCTACTTCTTAGTTGCGCCTTGTAGACTTGTTGTAGATGGGCATCTCCGTAACGTTTGTCTAGTCGAGTAAACAAGGTCTGGTAACATTTTTCTTGACCCTTAGGAATCGATCTTAGGATATCCGCAGCATCACCTCGTAAAGCAGCAGTCAAGGAAACGGCTTTTTCTTGTTCTGTCCAATGATTGGCTGTCGCAATAGCTTCAAATTGTCTAAGGTATATAGACCAAGAGGACTTTCCATCAAATGGTGGCAATTTGAATCTCATATGATGTGTCGTTTCGTCTCTCGGTGATTCTTCTTTCACTACCGGATCTAAGGCTACTGTGTTAACTGGTGGTAGCATTTTTGTGTTAGTTATCATGCTCTCTAACTTTTTGATCTTCTCTTCTACGTCTTCTATCTTGTCGTTTACATTTTTCTGTATCTTATCAAATGTTTTAGAAACTTCGTCAAATTTTTCATTGTTCTTTTTAGAAGTTTCTTCCATCATTTGAGAAACATTTTCAAATTTCTCGTCGAATCTTTGAGATACATTTTCGAATTTCTCATCGAATCTTTTGGAAACGTTCTCTAATTTATCATCATTTTTTTTAGAAGTCTCCTCAATCATTTGCGAGACGTTCTCAAATTTCTCGTCGAATCTTCTAGACACATTTTCGAATTTATTATCATTTTTTTTTGAAGATTCTTCAATCATTTGAGACGTTTCATCGAATCTTTTGGAAACAGTCTCGAATTTTCCATCAATTATTTTAGTTAAAACGGCTTCTTCTGCTGACTGGAACTGGAATGTCTCTGGGTCGTCTCCATTCTTGTTGAGAACAGTCTTCAGTCGTTCTTGGAGGATCTTCTTGGATCCGCTGCAGTCTTCATCGCGTTCTTCTAGTTGCTCACGCAACTGTTTCACTGAAAGTTCTACTAGCAGCATCTTTGGTCAGGCACACACGTACTTTTAAATGTTCTTTCGTACAACGATCACTACTGAACTACGCGGATGTTACCGACAAACAATACTTTTCAAAAGTTCAAAAGTCTCTTTTTTTTCACTGTTAAATTTATGTTTAAATAAATCAATTGACCCCACACCTGACACCAACTGTACCGTTTTTAAATAAAACGAGCGGTTCGAATTTATATAAATATATTTATTTATAACTTTACAGTTCGATACTATCTTATCAACTAAACTTATTCCTAAGATCGTTACATATATATACTAAAGTTACTATTTTCTAGAAAGTTCCCACCTCTAGGCGAACGCGACTGATCTTTCTCGAAATATCGAGTCGCTTTCGAGATGCCGCCGCGCTGCATGGAAGCATGAGGTGCACGTGCATAAATGCACGTTCGTAACAATAATTAGAGCCGCTTCTTTTATTTTTCTCTTTTTACCATCGGTTTCTTCTAGGACTATATTTTAATCATTCCATTGAACACTATGTTCATTATCCCATGCTTGTTTACATATTTGAGATCTATCAAATTCTCTATTTTTAATATAAGACTGATGTTCACTTATTCTAACATTTAATGGCCTGGATGTTTCACCTAAATAAAACTGATCGCATTCACAAGGTATTTTATAAATGCAATTCTTTGTCCTTTTTGTTCATTGTTAGGTTTGGTTTTGGACAAAATAGATCTCAACGTGTTTGTTGTTTTGAATGTTGTTGAAATGTTGAATTTATTTCCTATCCTTTTAAGTTTTTCTGATAATCCTTTTATGTATGGTATTGTTATTTTCCTCGTATTATTCCTTGTGTATGCTGTAGGATCTCATTCTAAGTTGTTCTGTTCTATTCGATCGATTGTTGAAAATTCCCTATTTATAATAATTTTTAATTAATAACTTTTTTAATAAAACAGATGTTAACAAATATTTCTCCCCCAACAACGAATTTTCTAATTATTAATTATCATAATTATTAATATTTAATAATTATGCTAAATGAGACCAATTGTGTCGCAAATTCCTCGGCAGAATGTAGTAGGATCTGGTTACCCATATTGAAAGAGGAAGTTATTAAAAAGAAAATACCAGTATTAGTAAGTCAGTAACATACGGAGAATACATCATTAATATTTTCTAAATAACAAACATATAAAATTAGAATTTGGTGTTTATTGAAAGTAAACTAAACGCACGACCAAATACTTACCATGTCGGGATAGTATTATGAGGTTTTTTTCCTGGATTTTTCCTTATAATTTACTATGGAATCACAAACAGGAGATTTTTACTGTCATCATGGTATGTATTTGTCTTTTTGAAGACGAATTACATGCTATGATTTTTTTTCTGACGGATATTCTCAAGTTAAAGTTGATTTCATGTAATCGAATAAACTATCTTATAAGTAAAGTAGTCCCAGGAACGCAACTCAACAATATTGGCAATATCATTTTAAAGTCGTCTACTATAAAATGTATAATGTATATATGAGTTATCAATATAAATGAGTCAGATAAAATTAAAATGTTAGAAGAATTTTTCACTAAGTAACAAAAAAACAAAATTTGTTTAATTTACTAATGTTTGTATTTTGAGAACGATTTCCGAAGTGTTAATTGAAACATCAATAAACGTATTTTAACCTTTAATTGTGGCTTATTCCCATTTAAATAGTAATTACCATAGTAGAGAAATCTAAATGGGACCGAATAAGAAACGAGGGCCTAAAAAACGCAATGTTCAGGATATAGTACAATGGGGGAGAGAACGAAGACGAAATGGACCCAACACGTAACCGGATTAGATTATGGGGATAAGGAGCCTACCAAAACACCATAAAAACATGTCGATACAGCTGGTCGTCAGAATCGCAAATATTATTCAACATAACTCAGTAAACAAAGGCCATTAACCTAACGTATGAAGAAGATTGATAATAATACCATCATCTTTGTATTTACTGGTGTTTTACACAAATTTTCCCAAATTCATTTGATCTATAATCATCTGCTCGGTTTTTTCGTCCAAACATTAATTTGCTTTTAAATATTTTTATTCTCTTGGAATTGTCAACAAATTGATAAATTCGACTCTTTTGACCTACTACAGTTTTTTGTCTTCACAGTTGCGAACAACCTTTTTAACACGATCACACTTTGGTCTTTCATTCGTCAATCATCTGCCACTGATAGAATGTTAACACGGCTACACTTGTGTTAGAATCCAGTGGTGCGATAATTTTTTTACCAGATTGTTCTTTGCATAATAAGAATATATCCAAAAATTCGGTAAGTGCCATATTAATTTTTTTTATTTTATTTAGGTATGTTGTAGCATTCATTATTAGAAGTTTCTTTTTTTTACTGATAAGATATTTAGTTCTATTTCTATAATATCTGATGATACAATGATATAATGTTCTAATATAGTTAATGTAACGCTACACAATACTAGATAAAGTTTATTCCTTAATTTACAAATAAATGTATTACAACAATTTTAATTATAATAGAAAGAAATATATCGTCTAAGAAAATCTAAAAATTAGGTATACAGAGCTTATCAATGACCGCGTCAAAGTTATGTATGTAACTATATTGCTATTTCATAGTGTATTGAGTCAATAATATTGAAATCAACGTGTAAATATCCTTTTCAGCTTAATTATAAATACCCTTTATTCCTGGGCACTATTCTAGTCTAAAGACTTACTTAAAACGTTAACGTAAACTTCCACATAAACATAACCTAAACTATTGGTTACATTACACCCATAATTGCCTGTGTCGTTCTTTTGTAAATGCTCTATTATAATCTTATTACTTAAAACTTTTCGTCTGGGGTTGTCTAATGATTCTTCAATAGGTTTTCCATTGTGTATCCATTTTGCTTGTGGTTCTGGTAAACCACCTCCCTTACATTCCAGTTCGACACTATCTCCTTCAGTTACATTTTGAATGGTTGGTTTCGTGATCAAATAAGGACTCGCTAAAAACAAAATTAAATTGAGTTAATGTTGACTTCTAGTACTTTAACATTTCGAAATATCTAGTCATTTTAGTTTCACGAATTGCTTGGGGAAAAATTAGTGCGACGAACTATGTGGGATGAAGGATAGAGCTGTTAGAAGTTGAGGGAAAAAGAGGTAAAGGAAAACAGAGGAGAAGATGAACGGACTGTATGGGGGATGACTTTAGAGGATGGTTGGAGGAGTGGACTTGGACTGAAACGAGTGGCGAAGAAGATAAAGGACAGCGACTCCTGAAAAAGGAAAACTTGTGAAAGAATAAGTTAGCTTAGTTTGAAAGCTGCGAAAGACATCAGTCTGTAAAGAAACTATAACAATTCTACGACGATCATGATTATTTTATTATAGGTGTATAATATAAGATAAAGGCAAGTATATGGGCAGCAGACGATTATACATTAGTTAAAGAATGAGATAACCCCATTGATAGCTGACAGATATGTGAGATAATTTTTAATATGACCATCTAAATTAAACAATAATCATTTAAATACGTCCTCTCTCTCTATAACGATATGCAAGGGACCAGGAATTTTCATCGTTATAAGGAGAGATCGTTATACAGAGAGAGACAAAATTTGGTACTGTAATATTAATAATACTGTCCTAAATAACCTATTTTAATTTAAAAAATTTATCAAAACGAATACAAATGAATTAACACTGTATTGTACACCACATAGATTTATTAAAGAAGACTGTACAATTAAAACATGTGTACTGTACATTAACAAAATAATACACTACTGTAAAATATATTTAGCCTACATTACCAAAAAAAGTCTGTGACCTTGGTCTTTTTCCTTTTCCCTTTCCACAGAACTGACCTGACCATGTCCTAAAGACACATATAATCTTCCACAGCACTCATATCGTCTTCTTGGTGGATGAAGAATCGATGCAGTACTTTTGCCGCATTCAATGCCTGCTCTTTTTTTATCGTGTCCGGACATTCATGTTATTCATAAAATTTCGACCCATTATCGGTCTACGTCGGTTCCATCTTTGTTGGCGAGCCATAAATTTCTGCATGTTTCTGCATGTCAGAAGATGTTCCATATTCTGTGCTTCTCCACAGTCACAGTTCACATTATCTTGGTCTATTTTCCCCCATTTTACCATGTTTGATTTTACTGGGCGACCCCCCCCTGTTCTTATCCTATTTATAGTTTTCCAAGTTTTAAAGTCTAGGGACTGGCCGGTCCATTGAACCTGGGGAAAAAAAATATACTCAGGCGATTTATCCTACACTGTTCCAAGGAATCTTTTCCTGGATTTTAGTTGCTGTCGTGGTGTTTGGGCCTAGTATAGGGCATGCCGCTCGTCCGCGATCTGTTTAATTTTCTCTATGTGCTCTGCAACGCCTCTGCGTGTTGAGGGTTCTGCAAAACCCGCTACTTTATAGAAATTTGAGAGTGAGGTTGGTTTCCTGCTGAGGGCTCGGACTGGTTTTGGCTCTGCCTCCACTTCCGGGTCACTGTATTCTTCAAAATCTGTTTAGCTCTTCCGGTCCGTAGGTGGTAGTAAGTTCAAACTGTCTGGTCCAAACATCTAATGGCAGGTCATCTTCATCATCAGTCAATCCTTGATCTTCCAACCATCCTACGTGTTTGAAGGAATGTTTTATTGTATTGCTCGTCACCTTGTCCCAAGATTTACTAACCATTAGGATGGCGTCAGTAACCCTGAGAGACCGAATACCCAACACAGAATTGCGCCGTAGATCGGGAGTAACCGACGCAATCAAAAGAATATCAACCTTAAAATGGAACTGGGCAGGGCACGTCGCGAGAACGAAGGACGGCAGATGGACAAAACGCATTCTTGAGTGGAGACCCAGACAAAATGCCTTTAGGAATAGAGGACGACCACCAACAAGATGGACGGATGACCTGAAACGGACACATCAAAATTGGATGCAGGCGGCTCAGGACAGAAATTTGTGGGGTGAACTACGGGAGGCCTATGTTCAGCAGTGGACGAGTATGGGCTGAATGATGAAGGATGGCGTCAAAAATGTTTTGTTTAAGATCGCCATTATTCTCAACCAATTCCATCAAAAGTCTTCTCGTGTAATGGCTTGTCAAACTCTTGATGACACTTTGGTCCATGGGCTGAAGGACACTCGTTGTGTTTGGAAGAAAACAAAGTTGAATGTTTTAAAGGTCGCACAGTACAGGATGAGCAGGACAATTGTCCACAAGCAGAAGAATGTTTTCCCTTTAAGCTCTTTATTATCCCACTTTATTATCGTTTCTTCAAAAATTTCCGCAGTCATCCACACACTCGTGTTTGCTTTATAGGTCACCCGTATATTTTTTATGTTTTTAAAGTAACGTGGGTTTGTGTGTGTGTGTTTAATGTCATTTTAGAAAAGAATCCAGTCTCATCAGCATTGAAAATGTCGTCTGACGCATATCGTGCCTTTAGTCCAGGCCACACGTTTTCTAGCCAATCATCCCTTACCATCGCGAGCTTCTCCGCTGATTTGCCCGTAGTTGTAGATCTTATGCCGCAGTTTCCACTGGCTCAACCAACCCTCAGATGCCTTGAAATTCTCAATTCCAAGCTCAGTCGCAAAGAACTCAGCTTCTGTCCAGCCCAGAAAGTGATGGATTCATACGCTGCTGCTGAGATTTCCGCAACTTCTTCCTGCTACCGCCCTTTATCTCCGCTTCAAGCCACTTTTTTCTGTTCTTCCATATCGGAGCCACAGTTAACTGAGATAGCCCCGACATCCAATTGCTTGAGCCATCGATAACTTTTCCTGCACCGAGAGCACTTTAGGCTTTTTCGAAAACATATTGACTGACTAAGACACAACTCGCAAAAGTAAATAACCGCTGGACAATGACCTTGCCACTCGTGACTGAGGTAGTCTGAACTTTAAATAAAATAACACATTTGTCATCGACTATTGAACGCTGAAAATCATCGCTATAAAGAGAGAACGATATCGGTATAGAGAAAGAATTAATACATTGTTCTTATGACGGACCAAACAACGTTTACTATTTTCATCGTTAAAGAGGAATTATCGTTATATAGAGAATCGTTATAAAGAGAGACTACTGTAAATAAAAAAATATTAAGAATTTTTAATTATAAGATAACTACTTACCCAAAACTTTCAAGTTTATTGATTGTGTCTGAGCTTCACCAACACCATTACTTACTTCACAAGTATAATTTCCTGCATCATTAAAATCGACATAATTTATTAGAAGAGATTTTCCATAATTATTCCATGTTATTCGATCTGAACTATGTAATGCGTGTCCGTTTTTTCTCCAAACAATTTGAGGCAGAGGTCTAAAAGAAGACTTTTAAAAATACTAAAAATATTATAATTATTATTGAGATAAATACATAGACAAATCTCCTGTTGCGATAATGAAAATGAAAGTTAAAAAGCAACAGGTAATGCAGAAACAGATAGAACGCGGAAGGAAGACAAAAATATTAGAAACATCCAAAACTTTAAAAAACGCTACTTACGTTCCACCATATATACAAAATATTTCTACAGATTTTCCTCGTAATCCCACTACATTTTTTTTACTGACATATTGGTCCGTAGGTTGTTGTCTGTTGTGACTAGAATCTTCAGTTGGTGTTACATTAAGAGATACTCTGTTACCAAGTTTGTATTCCTTCTTTACTCCTGAGACTGCTACACATGCGTAAAAAAACTCCCCATTACTATCGTCTATTCGAGTTAAATTAGAAAACCACAGATTTCCTTCTGGATCAACAGTTATCCGAGAAGAATTAATGGATTTAATGGCACCTGAATTCGTAACATAAACCCAATTAATTTTGGGTTGCGGGTACCCCCTAGGGGGGTCACATGATATCATGAATGGTTTGCCCTCGGTACCAACAACAGTCGTTGGATCACTTACATCGAATGAATCAAGTTCTTCTCTATTTAAAAATACAGAGTTAGAAGTAGCGATGCCATATTCATTTTCAGCAAAACATTGGTATTGACCACTATCTTTATCTACCGGTTTAATCATGACTAAAGTACCACGTCCAGGCTGTATTGATATCCTGTCATCACTTGAATAGTTAAATGGTTTGCCATCTTTGATCCATGAATATCTACAAAAATAAATCTTATGAAAATATTATTTAAACTAAAACTCAAAAGTATTGTAAAAACTATTTTCTATTATTTCCAATTTTCATGAAATTAAGAATTTAAAAATTTCGTTACCTAGGTGCGGGGAATCCCTCGGCTTCACAATTTAAAACTATTGGTCGTAAATCGTCCTTATCTTCAGCTACTTCAAAAAGTATCTCATCGTTTGGAGGTCCTTTAACGATCAATGGGGGTGATATCCCTAAACAATTACATTAGTTGATGTGGAAAACAGTTTCTCAATTCACAAATATATGTACACAGATAGAAGCCATAAGGTGTTATTGGAAAATTTTGAAAAATATTTAGTCATTTATTGTTTTCATAATTCTAGGATATAGTATTTTACTTTTTTACTACTTTCGTGACAATTAATTAGTACATTACAATTACCTACTTAGTTTTTAAATTTATTTGTAGTATTTTCTAATTATTAAAATGAATATTAATTAATATACCATTATTAAATATATGTTTCCATTAACAGTACGCATATTTTCTAAAAACATGCATATTTATATCTATTGATCACAAACACAGGGTCACTACAAGAAGAAATAAAACGTAGATGTCATCTAGCAAAAGTCGAAAAGGCCGAATATCACGAGGAAGATCCCCAACACGATGGATAAACCAAATTAAAGTAATATACAAAAGACCTATGTACGAGTTAAAAGAAATAACTAGGGGCAGAGATCTTTGGTGACCGATAATACACTACATCACGATGATCACTACCTTCTCTCCGAGGGGTCAGGGCTGAAGAGAGAGGAAGAAATCTCCCACTTGTTAGTCAACAGTTTGTCAGCACTTCATTGTCTTGAAGCTGAGAAATTGAATTCGAGGACGGAAGAGCTAAATTAAAGTTCCGCAAGGAAATTCCAGGACACCGCAATGGCTGTAACTCCAAGAGAAAAGGTCCTCAGTCCCGGGCACCCCTTAAGTGCTAAGAATCCCTGGTCAGCCAATAATGTTCCAAAAGTGAAAAAGAATATTCGAAGCCTGTACCAAGCAGGCAGCAAATATTATTCAAGAAACGACACGCCAGAACATAAAAATTTTAGGATGACGTGAATTTCGATGGCCAAATTCCAGAGTAACTAATTATAGATGTTAGCACCATAGTTATTATTCGGGAGATGACACAACAAGAATCAGAAATGGCATAGAGATAATGGTAAAATGGGGAATAACTAAAGCAGTTATAGCATTTACTCCTATATAAGACAGAATTTTGTTATTGAAGATTAACTTAACTCCCTCTAATATAAACAACATTTAAGTCTACTCACCGGCATCCGTACTCACTGAAGAAGAAATAGAAAATTTTTATCAGATTATCTAAAACTGACAAGAAATATGAACTAACTATTATAACGAGCGATTTTATCGCCAAAATAGGACAATGTACAGTCGAGAATATTGTGAAGACAAATGGTCTGGACTTAAAAAATGAAAGAGAAGAAAGGCTGAACTAATTCTACCATGGGACGGATATGGTTGTAACGAATACATTTTTTAAATTACATTCAAGAAGGCTTCATACATGGAAAGCCCCCGGTAATACCCCAGGGAATATCATAAGAAACCTAATTAATCTAATCAATATAAACAAAAGGGTTCCAAAATGTCAATGAATACAACAAGTTGCACAAGAAAATACTACAATAAATAAAAAGATCAAAAGAAGTATGTATAGATGATGGAGAAATGTACGGAAATTAATACAAGGACTACTCTAATTAGCTTTTTTCAATGTAGCTATTTATACGATGAACATAAATATATAATCTTTAGTTACAAATTAAATACAGCAATTATTATACTTTAATGAAATGTTTGTTTACGTTACCTGGATCGGCTGCTGAAATAAAGTTCAATACTTACGCTCACTGACTGCGAAGGCCAAATATAAAGACAATATGACAAAGTAATTATTTGCCATATTGTTAAAGTTATTTTAAGACCTGAAACAAAATAATTTCTATACGAAAATAGATAAAATCTCTCTAAAAAAATTAACAGACTACTTCATAACTATTTATTATATTAATGGAAATAAAATTAAAAATACAATTGAACTTATGGATTTTATACTCTTGAGCTTTTCGTCGACCGAGCGTTATTATAATAAAGATATCATAAACGTGTATTAGTGGCGTCTCGTCATATCTGAGTTTGGAAGATAAAACGTTTTTTTCATGCAAATTTGATGTGAATCAAATATGAGCCCTAGAGATTTAGCGTGATTTTTAAGTAGAATTAAAAAATAAAAAAATAGTATTGTACTATTTACTTATTTTTGATTAAAAAAAAAATCAGAAAAGAAGAAACCAACTGCCTCAAAGACCAACATTCAACAGTCCACATGTATGTACTGAAACAAATCAGATAAATGCTTTACAAAACCATCAAAGAACGTATTCAAACGTCAAACCAATCACGATACAGAACCTAAAACTAATATAGAACAACAACTATTAACATTCCTAAACGAGTTCAAAAACATGTCCTCGCAACTCATGAGTCAAAACAGTATGATATTAAACTTACTAACACAAGTCATTAACCAAAGAAATTCTTAAACATACTTAGAGTTGCCACATGGAACGCTAACGGCCTGCTAAACCATAAGCAAGAAGTAATTACTTTTTTAAACTTAAATAAAATTAACGTTCTTCTTATTTTAGAAACTCACTTTACCGATCTAACTACGTTTAAACCACATACAGCACACCTCATCCTGATGGTACAGCTCATGATGGCTCGGCGGTAATCATCCGCAGCTGCATATCACATTATGTATTGCCGAAATATGCAACAGAAAAAATACAAGCAGCAATCGTTCAAGTAAATGTAACGCCACGGCACTTTAACATATCTGAAATGTATAGCCCACCTCGTCACGCAATCTCCACAGATGAATACAGAGCCTTCTTCCAATTACTTGACAGCCAATTCGTAGCTGGGGGAGACTGGAATGCGAAACACATACACTGGGATTCAAGACTCACAACACCAAAAGGTCGTAATCTTCTAAAAGCAATGACCGACAACAACTATGATTGCCACACCAACGGAATCCCTACGTACTGGCCGAGTGACCCCAGAAAACTTCCAGATCTGCTGGACTATTTCATAAGCAAAGGACTGCCCAGAAACAACTGTCTAATAGACTCCAGCTATGATCTCTCATCGGATCATACACCGGTTAATATGAGCCTGAGTACCACAGTTATAAATAGCCAACCACCTCCTAGACTCACGTCAAAAAACACCAACTGGGCAGATTTTCAATCCTACCTAGAAAAAAACACCAATCTTAATCTGCAGATCAAATCTACACTTGACATAGATACAGCCGCTTAATACTTCACCACACTTGTTCAAAAAGCGGCATGGCAATCTACACCACGAACTGAGCGCAAACCAACAACTACCACAAATGTTCCTTTGTACATTCGCCAACTTATTGCTGCAAAACGTCGTGCGATGAGAACTTGGCAAAGATCTAGAAACAACATAGACCTACATATATTTAATATACTACGTAGCAAACTTGGAGTAGCCATCAAAGCCGCAAACAACGAAACCTTCGAACATTACATTACAAACCTTACAGCAAATGACCAGACGTTATGGAAGGCGACTAAGAAGCTTAAGAAACCATACGCAACCATTCCTCCCACCTGTAAACCAAATGACGAATGGGCCTGTTCCAACAAAGAAAAAGCGGACGTTTTTGCTGAACATCTCACAAACGTATTTCAAACAGAACCAGCAGACCCCGATGAAGAAGTGGAAGAACTAATTAGCGCAGCATGTCAAATGTCCCTCCCAATTAAATTTTTACTCCTGTAGAAGTCAGAAAAGAAATAAACAAACTCAATTCACGAAAGGCCCCAGGTTATGATTTAATCTCGGCACAAGTACTAAACAACTTCCTCGCAAGACCATAACTTTGCTAACAGTTATATTTAACCGCATGCTAAGCTTATCATACTTTCCAAAAATATGGAAATTGCTGAAGACATTATGATGAATTAAGTAATAATAAACAATGAAGTAATATCTTATCGACCAATCAGCCTACTCTCAAACGTAAGCAAAGTTTTTGAAAGATTGCTACTACAAAGGATATACGCAGATCATGAATTCCTAACATTACTTCCAAAATATCAGCTTGGTTTTCGAGAAAATCACTTCACTACCCAACAAGTTCATCGAATGATAAATGAAATATCAAAAAGTCTTGAGGAAAAGAAATACTCCAACGCTGTATTTCTATAGCAAGAGGCATCAGTGACACGAAGATAAGATTCAACAGAAGACAAAGAACAGGAATGGATATCCCAGATATCGAGAAGGCATATGACACGGTCTGGAAGAAGGCACTAATTTACAAGATGGACAAAGCCAGAGTACCTCATTATTTAGTTAATATTTGTGACACATATTTAAATAATAGAACATTTCAAGTTTCAGCTGACCAAAAGACGTCGATGCTCCAAGAAATTCAAGAGGGGGCTCCTCAGGGCAGTATTCTCTCGCCCATTTTATATAACATTTTTGTTTTAGATTTACCAACAGATCCAAGAACATCTACAGCCCTCTATGCGGATAATACGGCAGTATATGCAACAGGAACGGATAATAGAAGAATAGTCCAAAACATAGAAAATCACCTCGGAAAAATCACGGAATACACCGAAAAATGAAAGATTAAAATCAATTCAGAGAAGACACAATTCATCATGTTCACCCAGGAAGTCCCCCAGTGCTAGAAATCACAGTAGGAGGAAACAGGATCCAATCAGGAGAATCAGTCAAGTACCCAGGAGTCCACCTCGATAGAAGACTAAACTTCAAGTTGCGTACCAAAAAAACTAAGATAACAGCAAACGTTGCTAAAAAACTAATACTTCCTTATATTTTTAGATCCAGTCCACTATCGAAGGCCAAGAAAATTCAACTATACCAGGCCTACGTTAGATCGGTTATACTGTACGCTATCCCAGTTTGGAGTTCCATCGCGGAGTACAACTGGAAGAAGCTCGAAGCAACAGAAACAACATGCAAGTATACGAGTAACAAACGTAACCATCAAAGAAAGGCTCCAGTACACATCACTGAGGGAGGTGGCTGAGAAACGGACCAGATACTTCTTCCACCAAGCCAAAGGAAAACACGAAAAATCGGACCCAGAGGATGTTTAGAACAACAATAACAATGACAGAACGATTTAAGATCCGAGAGGAAGAAATCCAACATCAGGCAGTGCAACATCGGGACGTCAAGAAGAAAAAAGACTAAGTTATCTTAAGTATTAAGTGTGAAATGTATATATGATTAGGGCAATAAATGTTTTTATTTTTATTTTATACGTATTTTATGATATCCTTTAATAAAACCACTTTTATTTTGATATATACCCATGAACAGTTGTGCCCTCTTTATTACTGTGCTTTAATAAAATAAACACCGCCTGTATTTAAATTAAATACAGTTCGCTGGACATACCATAAGACATAAAGACGACAAATGAAATAAGATGATTAGACAGTGGAGACCATATAGTTGCAAACGAAAAAGAGGAAGGCCACAAATGAGATGGTCAGATGACTTGAAGAAACACCCGGGCCCGAAGTGGGTACAAGCTGCCTACAATAGAGACGTGGAAGAAGGAAGAGGAGGCCTATGTCCATAATTGGACAGCAAGGCCTGTATAGATACATAGACAGACCAAAGAACTTTTATTTAAAGATTACTTACTGCGAGGCAACCTGACAAATTACGTTTAGAAAGAAAAAAGACGTCTAACTTCACTTATATTTATAATATAAATATTAGATAAAATTTGTTGTTCGTTTTGTTTTATTTAATAAAAATTGTTTTAAGTATTATTTTTATTCGCATATCCTAAATCTTCATAATTATTGTTTTACGTTATACCGATATGGATGGACAAAAAAAAACATTACTAATTTTATTGGTATTGACATGGATCAAATCTCAGTATGGCTTCATCTGGAATATCTGCAACTTTATTGGAAAGCGAACAAATTGCAAATTTTGTATTGAAATAACCATTAAACATAAGTATTAATGAAACACCAGATTACATCATCGCCAAAAATAGAGCAATGGCGAAGATTTTATCAGTGTGCAAGTTAATCTTTTGGAATGAATGTACATTGGCCCACAAGAGACCATTAAAGGCACTGAACAAAACTGTGAAAGATATTTATGACAATCAAAAATATTTTTGGGTGGAGCCATGATTCTATGTTCAGACTGTTCCTTATTAAATAATTATTCACCGATTAACTGCGGGCGAACTAAACGCATGCCTAAGATCATCCCATTTGTGGCGACAAGTAAAGACGCTCCAATTGACAAATACCATGCGAGTGTTTTTGCAACAAGATCAAAGTGCAAGTGTGTTTTTGAAGCAGTTGTTAGGTATTGGAAATAGAAAAGTGGCTATTGACACCTCGACCGTATTTATTTCATTACCCAAAGATATGAAGTTTGGTGGGTCAGCTAGTTACAATATATGTGTCAGAAAAATATCGTCTATATTAAAATCGTTAATTACACAAAAAAACGTAAAAAATTTATAGGTTTTGCGCTATAAATTGACATTGATTATACCCCTACCATAAATGGGACAGTATGGAAGTGGAGTCAGAAAGGTCATCGGATGAAGATAAAAATCGATGAACATAGATGCAAAAAGTAGCAAAAAACAAGTAAAACTCAGACAACGGCAACAAATTTCTTAAAGAAAAAGGACAGATTCAATTTAATGATGTCAACAAGGAAAAAACAATAGGTAACATAATGGTCAACGGTCAGGAAACAAAAAAAATACAAAGAAAGTAAAAAAAATATACTAAAAATATATTTTTATGTACAGTGGAGCTGACAAAGACCAAGACAAGTATGAAGTGGAATTTTTAATAAA